GAGCCAATGCCAGCAGCTCCAGGTGGACTGACCAGAGGCCAAGGCCAAGTATCTCAAGTTGAAAGGGACCCATAAGGATCAGAGTTCAACTTCCTGCAGCTTGCAGGACTACCTGAAGCTAAACCATATGGCTTAGAGTGTTGTCCAGACACTTGAACTGACAGGCTTGGCACTGCAGCCACTGCCCTGGGGAGTCTGTTCAGTGACCATGAGCCAAGAACCTTTTCCTGATGTCCAGTCTGAACTTCCCCTGTTGCAGCTTCATTCCATTTCCTTTATTCCATTATCCAGGATTTCAGGGGACTCTTGTCCCTTGTATATGATAATCTGCTTCAGACAGACAGGAAACATTTTACAGACAACAGCAGATATATCTTAAGGAGCAATCTGAAGCTCCACTAGGAAGTAAACAGTCAGTGCTGAAGGAAGCCAGACTTGCACTGAGAACATGTTCACAAATGTGTTCTATAGTTTCTGATTCTACTTCCTCAAAGAAAATCTAGATCTCTTTAAGGATACATAATACAACTAAGAGAAAACACTTAAAGCTGAAGCTGATCTGCAGCAAATCATACATGCATATTCTTGCTTCCTTTTAGGTAAAGGTTTGGAGCTATTCAAATATTTTATGTCATCAACTTACTGGCTCTAAGTGACTTGGTTGTACCGATTTCATCAAGCAATTTGAGTTTACTGATTTATTTGAAATGTCGGTATATGTCAAGCTTTTGCTGTTTTCGAGTTAATCAGTTCACCTTGCTGTGAAGTTGTCTTAGTTTTTAAGGTTGGCCTCTTAAAACAGAGTATCTAGAAATCTGAGACCAATCCTCCAGGTGTGTTTCACCCCTGAAGATGGGTTGGTTATCCTGCTCACTAGCTCCACTTATGACATGCAAGAGAGCAAAATTTGTGCTTCCTGGTTGAGTGAAATCTTGATTCCATCAGAGTTAAGTAAAACATGTTTCTTAATCATAGTTTTAAAAAATAGATAGGCCATATGTTTTTAACTTTGCTAAGGTGTTCTGGGGTAGCCTTCTCAATCGGGTCTGCAGTTAAAAAACTGCTGTAGTGTGAGGTTTGGAACTCTTTGCTGCATTAGGTAATAGTAACAAAAATAAAAGCTAAACATTGTACCAAGTTTAAGATACATCTTTTAGGACTGTTTTACTAAGGCATGGTATGCTATTTTTGTATCTGGGACAACACACGTTCAGTGAAATGTATCTCCTCTCAAGTGTATGCCCCAAGTTTTTAATAATTTTCCCTTAAAAAGTGATAAATCATTATTTAAGAAATTGAGGGTTTAGTAGATGTAGTTCTGTTTACTTGAGGTATGTATTTTCCTCTTAAATTACTGAATGTCCTTCATAGATAAGACTTAGTTTACAGGTGGTTGATTGTGTCATGGATACTGTAATATTGATGAAAAGATAAATGAAGTTGCCTTCCTATGGTTTGCCTTCTCTTGTGCAGATGAGTTGCCTTGTTGATCTTGGTGAGAATGCTATATGAAGTGTGTTTGTGGAATCAGAACCTATAGTTTATAAATTGGTGATTATTACTTTTGCCATTAATGCTAAGAAGTCTGGATTTTAGCTACACAAGTGTTTTAACAGGTTGATGCCCCTAAGCCAAACCATGCTTTTATTTTTTTTGCTAGCATAGTCATTAACATGGTAGATCATTCTTGCATAAAGATGAGGATACTGTATGGCATGTGAATGCAAATTTCTGGTTTTCCTAATTTTTTGGAAAAGTTCTTGTAAAGGGGAAAGATTGCAGCTACTGTGGCTGTGATCAGTAACTCCAAATACCTTCTCTCCCCTGTATCAGATTTCTATTGAAACAAAAGTAGCAGAATGCTTGTTAAAATGCCCGAGATGTATAAAATATAGGCATACATGTGTGTGCACATACATACCCATAACTAGTAATTCACTGTAAGAAGTCACATCTAGTGTCTGTTAGCATTTCTCAAAATCGCTGTAAATTTATTTTCTTCACTAAATAAATTTGATAATTTTTCTTTTGCATGTAATGCATGTTACCTCAACTTTGTGGCAAAGGAACTGGACTGTTCTGTTTAGTTCTTACCACATCTGCATACTTGCATGATTTATAGTTGGCCTTTAAGATTTCTTTATGCTAGAGATATAAGCACTTCTTTGGAGTGTGTACATATAAAATCCTAAATTTGAAGGGAAGTGATGAAAGTTTTTGCACTTTGTGTTAGGAAAAAGCAATGTTACAACATTTTAGTTAGGAAGAACTCGAAATAGGCATTGCACAGCAAAATTTGGTTATTGTCAGAATTAATTGGATGCGTAAGAATAAAGTTGATGAAGTGTTGAAATAGATAATGGTAAACATCTAAATCTAGAACAGTGAACCCCAAGCTTGCTTGCATGGTTAAATCCAATTATCACAAATTTGTATTGATCACTATGTTTCTGGTGTGTGATAAGACATTTAGCACACAGCATCTGAAAGGTAAAGTAGTTCTACTAGAGCAGTAACTTCTTAAGCCCTAATTAAAACAATAGGCAGATTACCTGTATGATAATTTCTCCTCCATGAAAACTTAGAGCTTTACTTCTTTAAGGTTCATAGTTCATTCAAATTTAGATCAAGAGGACAGAGGCTATGGGATGGAGTAGGGGACAAGGTGGGCAGGTTCCACTGTAGAATGGGTGCCTGAGGGTGACTTCATTCTTAAACATACACAGTTAAAGCTGTTACAGAATAGAGCTGGATGGTCACAGCAGGAGAGAAAGGGGAAAATGCACGTGGCCTTAAGTATGTTCATGAGACTGAAAACTTTGTGTATGAAGCAAAAGGCAAGGGCATGTCAGATTAATTGAATTCAAGAGTTCTTTTTCCATTTATTAAGGAAAAATCAGTCCAATAAAAAATGCTTTTGTAAAAGGAATTGGAATTTGTACAGGCAGAGAGAAAGAACTGGATTTTTGCAGATGTGGGAAGAACTGCTGCTGCTTTTTCTTTCAAAGAAGCAGACACAAATACAAATGGTTCAGTTGTAGTAACATCAGGCTTGTTCTGGCAGACTCAGGGTAAAGGAAAAATAATATTTGATATCAAGCTCTATGTTGAGTTATATATGCACTATGTAGAATAAAGTCACTCCATTTAACATGGTCATACCAAATCAAATTTTCATGTTAGAGCTTTGTGTCTGTTTTTCTGTTCCAGGAAATGGAATAGAACAGTCAATTAATTGCAACAGTTAGTATTTGTTGAAAATTTGTTGATAGAGATCTAATTTTTCTAAATTTTCAAGTGGACGATCTTTGTCATGTTCACTGAATTTTAAAATTCTTACTCATGTGATCTTTAAATCAAGTAGGATCAATTGCCTATTGCAGGTTTCTGTCTGCTGTATTTCACCTCTGTGTCTCAGTAATAGGTGAACATAGCACACCTTGGCACTGGTGCAGTGTAAGGGAGAAATTTGGTCCCTAACCAAAGTTCCTGCATTGGCAGAGCTATGTCTGTAGCAGTTTAGACAAAGTTCTGCATTTGCTTGTGTTTGCTTAGGGTAGTTACAAGCTTAGCCTAGGAGTAATTTTCTCACAGGCTTATCATTACCATTGATGTAATCATACTGAGTCAAAACTATTTACCGTGTGAGTTAGGATGCTCTTGTCATAAATGTTGTAAAGTTGCCTTTGAAACCTTAGTCTTTGATGTTTTTGAA